ATGGAGGAAAAGAAAAGCAATTTCTCTAATAGGTTTTGTTTGCCTGAGAATTGTAGGGCAGATTGATTCCATGAATGATGGTGTCATTACTGTTAATATTTGGAGGAAGTTTTTTTTTTTTTTTTAATAATCAGAAAAGAAGAAGTGCATCAAAAAAAATAATCAGAAAAGAAGAAAAAATGATTATTAATTTATTTTATAAATATTGAAAATTAGGTACTTGACATTGTATGGTTTGATTCAAATCCAAGGATAAATTATGTTAAGGAAATTTTCAAATGCGGTGATATATAGATAATCTTTTTGTATTATCATTTTATACAATTTTTATGTGTTATTAAATGAGTAAATACATTCAATATTACAAGTTATAAATGAATAAAAAGAGTCAATCATTTTATTGACACATTAAGTTGTACAAAAAAATAACATTAAAAAGTTGTTCTTAAATCATTTTTCACTTTCAAAACCTTTCTTTTTAATTATTTAGTCCCTCAAGATTTATCTTTTAAACTTACACCCTTCAAATTTTTTGGACACCTAAACTTTTACTTAAGCTTTGTTCTTTTCCAAATTAAGATTTTTTTTTATTAATAGGCATCAACTTGGCGAAGTTTTTATTTATAGTATTGATTAGAGTATAAGCTTTAATTATCTCTATGCAACAATATTTTTCTTAAAAAAATAAAGAAAAACTTGAAGTGAAGTTGCTTTAATATTTTGAATAGAGTAAGGATCAGGTTATATATTATTATTGTCGAGATATAATGAAAATAAATGAAATATATATGTAGAGACTTATAAACCCAATAAAATAATTATTTAGGTGCATCACATACTCATATGTATTGGGTTTATTTGGGTTCTTGTTGGCTCAATATTATAGTACAAGGGGGCAAATATGTTAAAGGCCCAAGGTTGGCACAAGCCCTAACCCTAGGCCTGAAAATTTTAGTTTTGCCCAACTCACTCCAATCCATCATATTTAATATTTCTAATACATAAATAGAAGGACTTACTCCATCAATATTGCTCTCTCAAAAGGCAATATCTAACATTGTTTTTTGAGTTTTCACTTCCACCTCAACCTGTACATCTTATGAAGCTTCATTACTATCTACTTGAAAAGCTACACACCCTTTCTGCTTGAATTACAAAGGGAATTTCTTTTTTGATAATGAGGTCAAAATGCTATTCAATTTCCTCTATTTTGTACAAAGTCGAAAATTAACATATTAAAGTTTTATTGATTTAGAATATGTATTGTTTACATAAAAAATGCATACAAAACTACATGTAGAAAGTAACTAAAATTACACTCATATGAAAATCATCACAAGTTTATCCTACACTAAAGTGTGAGATAAAAGCACATATTTTGATGACCCAATTGAGCATTATGCTCAAACGGGTAATGCAAATTATGCAAAATCTAAGGCAATTTTGTTAAGGTTCAAGGTTGAGTTTTTCTTCGTTGTGCCAAAGAAATACCAAAATCCAAGTTCGAAACTTAGATATGAGGAAGTGAAGGTTTGAAGAGTTTAGCTTTAATTGAAGGAGTTGGAAGGGACCTCAATGAATGTTTTCTGCAAAGTAGAAGAACCCCAATGAACGATCTTGAAGTACAAGGACAACAATGAACCAAAATGAAAAGTTCAGGAACGTCCTTTGGCTTTTACCCGTTATGGCCTTCTGAAGTATGAACTCAAATAGAAGTCGCAATTGATTATTGCCGGCGAATTCATCGTTCTGATGGCGGAGGAATCTTCTCAAGTCAACTCTTCACAGCCCCCTCCGGTAACTCTCTTCTTCTCTAACCCTTTTCTTGGTTATGGTGAATGTGATTCTTTTCTCTTACGAAATCGATTGACGTTTTGATATTCAAACTTGTTAATGGGATCAATTCATTTTCATGATTGGGATGATGGTATCTGGAAGCACTTAAAAAAGATTAGATTTTGATTTTGATTTTGAATTTCTTGCGTTGGGTATGTAGTTTTTGGAGGTGATTTGCAAAAGCTCCGGTAAAAGAAGCCGCTTTGCATCTGGGACTAAAGCAGGATTTGCAGTGTCATTGATAAATAACAGGTTGGGTGCTGGGGAACCTCTTGCTTCATATATTGAAGCAGTTAAAGAAGGTGAGGAACCCGTAAGTTTTGGACCTGATGCCGTTCTTGTGAATTATGGCAATGGATGGAAATTGCAGACAGTTACAGAAACTGATTTTCCGGGTAACGAAGTGTTTTCAGTTTGTACCATGGTCAATTGTTTTCTGAGTGGTATCTAAATTAATGCTCCAATTTACTGTTTCTTGAAGCAGGAAGTAGGAAAAGGGAACAGATTCAGCTAATTCAAGAGCAAATCCATGTTCTAAAGGTAATAAATTTCCCAATTATCTTACTTTATTTTGAGGGTAAGTGGCTTATCATAGGACTAAAGTGCATTGTGTTGAGTTTAGAATTTTCATTAGAAAGATTATCTTACTTTATTTTGAGCAAATCCATGGACTAGGACTAGGAGTCCACCATTTCAGTTCAGGATTGTGAGATACAAATTTCTGTAGGGATGGATGTTTGGCTGAGTAATTTCAACATTCAGAAGTTATCTTCATAGGGAGGATAGTTGGCTTATGCTTATCAAACTATCAAAGTTTTTACTTTCTTAGATGTTCACAAATATTCTAAATTTCCGATAGGTTTCTAGAACCTATGGAAGTGATGCATCAATTACTTTTGTATATACTTTTGATGATTGAGACTTCATCCCCTACATACTTGAAAAGGAGGAGTCTAGTATTTTGTGTTTACCCATTACTTGCTTATTTGCTTTGTACAACTAAAATTTCTGACCCTGTCCTTGAGTACCCTATGGTTGAGTTTAGTCTTCTTTGTTTGCTATTGATGAGCTTTCATGGACTAATATGTGCCTTGGAAAATAGTTCTAACTCTGACTTCTATGGACTGCTCTGGCTTCTCTAGTTGGCTTGGCTTTCTTTTCTCCCTTCTATTTCTTTAATGGAGATTTAAGGGCATAGATAGATAAGTCAGTAAATAAAAGAGAAATTGATATAACCTATCAGGACAAAGAAAACTGTGTTGTTTTCGTTTTCTATGACCCATTTCTGGTTTATGGATGACATCACTTGCAACTGAGTTTGTTTCTGTGGCTACATTTCCTCAGCTCTAATCCCCCATATATATTAATGTTAACAACATTAAGACATGTCTGATTAGTTCAAATATTTGAAGCATTTCAAAAAATCAAATGAAATGTAGGATATCCTCCTGGAAACCTAAGCCCTGTGCTTGTTTATCTTCTTCCATTTTTTTTTTAATGGTAAATGGGTAAGTAATTTTATTGATCCAGTCAGCATAGGGTCTTTCATAGGATAACCAGGCGTACATGGCAGAGATACAAACTATACCCTTACTGTTTATCTTCTTGTTATCTACTCATGACTTATTGGTTATTGACTCGAAAGCTTATTGGCACTGTTACCCTAGGTTTAGGAAAAAGCTTTTGTAATTTGGAGTTTTTTGTTCGGCTGGAAACATAGGTTTGTACTTGGGAGTTCAAATATGGTATTATGAACTAAATCCAGTAGCTTTTTCTTCTTTTTTTTTTTTAAATTGATTTTCATTCCCTAGTTGGCTAGGACTCATGTATTAATTTTCATTTAGCTTTCTTGATTCCTCTCCTTCTTTGAATGAGCTTTTTGAAATTGTGAAGTTCCATAGTTCTTAGCTGACATCTTCCATCTCTTGTTTTCATCCTGCAGAGTTTCGATGCACAAACACCCAGAAAGAGGGTTTCAAAATCTGGAATCAGTTTCATCTACATTGGGAAAATACTGATAGCTTTCATTTTGATGTTTGTTCTGGGTGCAATTTTCACATTGTTTCTAGAGAATCTCCCGAGACTGATATTGTATATTAACTCATTGATGGAGTAATATATATTTGATATCATTCCTCGAATACAATCGAGTTTTCGGAGAATACAGGGGTGAAGACTTTAAGGATTGCAAAGCCATGGAAAACAATCTTCCATTTGCTAAATATTTACATTGTTTGAGCATGTTCCCAATCTACAGCAATATATATGCTATATACAAGGGCTGATTTCATGACAATGGTAAACAATAAACCACTAGGAAGAGAAAAAAAAATGCAAGCATACAACACATTCTTTTTCAAGGTACACGATTTTGTACCCAGCTGATGCGCAGATAGACATTCCATTTTCATTTTTCCTCTACTGACTCATCCCTAATTCAACTAAACCAGAGAAGCTCTAGAGGTGCGATAAATTTCATCAGCATGTGTTGCAGGTACATAAACTGCATCCAGCAGTGAACTATGGGTACGTCCATAAAATACATAGACGATTACTCCTATCAGAAGCCATATGGATACACGAGCCCAAGTGGCAGCCCTGATATGTAAGAGAGAAAATTAGATGAGTTGAATTGAATTGAAGATAATACAAACCAAGAAGCAAATAATAGGACAGCAGTTGTGGTTAGTTCTCTAGGAGTGTGTCAATGGACAAAATCATAGATCAAGATATATAACAACCCAAGTTTTATTGAACACTTACCCTAGATTGACGAGTAAGTAGACATTGATGAGAATGCATAAAATTGGTAGGAGTGGCACAAATGGGCACAAGAAACCTGAAAATAGACAAACATTGAAACTCTTAACCATGCCAAATACCTATAACATCAACAAAAACCAAGTGATGACTGGTGATTGGAAATAACCTAAACTAAACATTTTTCCTGTTTTCAGTCTTTTCTTGGGTACAAAATATATACTCAACCACACAACTAGTTAGCACCATGAACTAGTTCCTAGATGGCACTAATCATGATAAGAGATGCTTGTAGCCAGGATAATATCACATCTCTATGTATAAAGCGAGTCAGACCAAGCACTTAAATCCATCTGAAACACAGTTGATATGTAATTGATTCAAAATAACCCAAGAATATTTAGCAGAACAAGGATGCTTTCATCCTTTAAGAGGACATACCAACTAATCACATCTTATACAAATTTCTCAAGTGGCGCTTATTGAGATATTTCATCCATTTTAAAGTGTCCATGAAAACTTAGTAAATGTAGGATATCACTTAAATCATCAGGTTCTGCCAAACAAATAAATCTTGTCCAATTTTCAACCAGGGTTTTATAATAGATAACATACCTCCTCTATGACCGAAAGTATGCCTTGCTTCATCTTGATCAATTGTGGTCAAGACAATCAGACCAGACAAAAGTAGAACACCACCAATTCCACACAATGTATATCGAAGAAGCCTAGAAGAGAATGAAATGTAAGGCCAAAAATAATAGATAGATACTCAAAACATATATTGACATAAAACTCACAAGGAAAAACAAGAAAAAGTAATCATCTTCAGCCATACAAATGCATAACAGAGGACTACCATGAATTTCATCAACCACTTATTCTTTTAACATGCATCCTGACACTGAGCAAAACACTTTCCCACTCTTTCAACACGCATCAGGACACTTAGCTAAACAGTAAACACTTTCTCACATAAGAAATAATGGATGAAAAGAAAATAGTATTAGACTGTCCTAAATTAAAATAAATTGCAGCATCCCAACTCCCTGCACCCCCATACCTAAAATTTATGTTTTCCACCATGTGCGTCAAGATTCAAGACAATTATCATTATGAAGCAAATTTATAATGCAAACACAATCAATCTACCTTGGTAGACCCAAATTTGAAGCTGCACAGGTGAGGATCAGAACTCCTATACATGTGAACATTATAGCCCAGCCAGCAACTTTTCGCCTGTTCTCTTCATTGAGGATATCTGGAATAGTGATGACAAGGGAAACAGGGCAAGATTTAAGAAAAACATAGACGATGGAGGCAACAATGAAACCATACATTCTAGATGGCGATGTAGCAAAGCTGATACAACTCCCACAGATTTGAATTTGTATAAGATTAATAGACATAAGGTTTGTTTCAATGTGGAAAACCCATGCTAATTTAATTTACAAAAGTGTATTTTTTTAGTTCTTAAACTTTCATATTTTAGTCAGATTAAATTGAAGACCTTAATACAGGTTGTGAATTATTTTCTCACATTCCAACTTATGACGTTCATGCTTCCAACCATACACAGAACAGAATGCCATTCAAGTGAACTGCTCAAACCAAATATGGATGGACCAGCTCAATTTTTCATGCAGATTATTTAAAATCAATATAAAGAACTGATATTGGGAAAGATCCAATTGCTTACATATCAAAAGAAATGGCAGAAAGAAAAGAACTTACAACTGCCTTGAGCTTCTTGCTTTTCAATTACAGGATAATCAACTGCTGCCTTGTTTTTGCCAAGCAGAGGTTGAGTAGCATCAATTGAAGTACTCATCTTAGTTTTCCCCTTCCTGCTCACCTGATTGTCCCTAGCATATTGCAATGACAGGGAATCAATGGACCCCTGAAGTGACGATGGAAGTGGCACCTCGTCTGGCGGGACATATCTGAGTATCAATACAGATATTGCTACCATAGTAAACGCAAGAAGCGTACCAATGCTGACCTGCAAATGACATTTATAATTAAGGTTCATATTTAAGGTTCTTTTGTGTTTGATTCAAGAAGATATTCATATGCAGGAAAATCTTCTCAGCAGGCCTCAGTTCATGTAAATCAAGTTAAGTTCACTTACCTTTGATGACTTTTGGAACAGGAAAACAATATACTACCTAGAAACTTATTTGTGTTCTTAAACAGGCCAACAACTGTAATGTTGGATTCCAAAATGTCATTGATGATAGATAAGAAATGCTTGCTTACCATCCCCGCCAACTCTGAAACATCCATGAAGAATGACAAGGTTGCAGCAACAACACCAGTTGCTATTGTGCTCTTGACAGGAACTTGGGTGCGTTTATTGACATCTGAGAAAAATGATGGAAGCAAACCATCTCTTGCCATTGCCATCAGAATTCGAGGCTGCAAAAGAGTAGAAGCAAAATAAGGCTCTAGAGTCTCATAAAGGGATTTTGATAAAGCGAAGGGATAATTTGAACTACCATCTTTCAATGGTAGGATCCAGCCAAAGAAGAAAATTTTTTGAAAAATAAAAGGGACAAGCAGAAGTGCAGGATGCCAAACCCAAATACATAAAGTTGCATCCTGTGGATCTTAATGTCTAATATCCTACATGCAACATAGATTTAGAATCAACTAAACAATAACAAAGACGTTTCAATTGAGCTACACAAACTCTTAAACTTCCAAAAGGAAAAAGAGAAGAATATCAAATTTGTTCTTTACATAGAGCAAGTTCACTACATTATATCCAGTGCTATACAGTTACCCATTTATTCTAGATAGCATGAATAAAAGATAGAAATTAGACAAGTGAAATTCTGGACAGAGAAGAAAACATCAATATGATAAAGATGTCGACTTCAAGTCGCACAAATTTCATCATAGAAACATTTCTGGTAGATCCAGAAAGAATAGCAGAGTGAATCATAATACAGGCATTAAATTTCATCTTGAAGACAAGGTACACAGTGCAAGAAATATCAAGGTTTGTGCGGTAATTGGGTGTAGGATTAAACAGAAAGGGATTTACTTATGTACCTGAGGGAGGATTGAACCCATCAATGTTGAGCAAAGAGCAGTTGTAGCTCCAATAGTTATTATGTAACTGTAAGAACAAAAAGGTTGACTTATAACCAAAAAAAAGGGGCTTTGAAGGAAAAAGAAGAAAAAAATTTTGAATGCAGCATGAATACTCACGCAGCCCATTGCATGCCATTGCTAGCAAATGCGGAGGAGATGGGGGTATCAGGATCCATCGCATAATATGGTACCAGACCAACTATCACAACAGATACCAGCATGTAAAGCGAACAGCAGATAAAGAGAGCTAAACCTATACCCAGAGGCAAATCTCGTTGAGGATTCTTCACCTGCCAAAATAATATGATGTCAAACTTCAAATTTATCTTGGGTTATGCTGAAACATTAACACCACAAATAAGAAAACTAATGCAAGAAAAGAAAACACAGATACCTCCTCAGCAGTGCTGGCAACTGAATCAAAACCAATAAATGCAAAGAAGACTGTTGCAGACCCAGCAAGCATGCCATCCACCCCAAAGGGGAAATATCTAAAGAAATAAAAATAAAATTAATAAGCAGATTTAGAGATCATCATGTTTGAAGTAGATAGAGAATGCAGATCATGTGTTACCCAGTAGGAAGATTATATCCAGCCCATCCAGTCTTAAATCCCAAATAACCACCAGCCACTATCACAAAAATCATAGCACACGTATTTGCAGTGGTGACGATACCTTGGGCAAATGTACTCTGCATAAGGTTAAAACTTAATGGTCATGCAAGGAAATTTACATACAAGGTTAGACATCAATGCAGATTATCCAAGAAGTTTCCTTTGAAGGAAAATCAAGAAGAACAAGAATAAAAGTGAAAATTTATTAGAGAGGCAATAAAGAAGAAATTTTTCAAGTGAAAAAGAAGATAGAAAAGGTACCTCCTTGATTCCTACACACAAAAGGCCGGTCACGATAAACACTAAAATTGCAGCACATGGATCAACCACAACATCAAGCACAGGAATATGTTGGCGTGCAAGAAAAGCAGGCAGGCTATCATTGCCTCCAAAAAGCAGTGCCTAGATTCGGAAATAAAAATGAAAATAAAAACATTAGCAAATAAGACAAAGAAGCCCCACAATTCATGCTATAAAATATCTCATATAACAAAATTCATTATACCAGATTTGGAGATATGCCACGAGCAACAGCTGAACCGCCAATTGTATACTCTAATATAAGACCCCAACCAATCATCCAAGCAACACTGTAGATGATACTGCTAATATTAGTAGCTGGAAAAAATTATATATGTTGAAGAAGGATAAGAGTAGGATAATCACAAATTAATCATGTCACTGAACCTAAGTCTTAACAACCAACTCTCCATAATAAAAGAAATTACCCTTCTCCAACACATATGTATGTATAATGATATGCACTTCCAGCAGAAGGGCAACGACTTGAAAGTTCAGCATAGCAAAAGGCAGAGAGAGCAGCAGCAATTCCAGCAATCAGGAAAGAGAAGGTGAGTGCTGGCCCAGAATGCTCTCTGGCAACAGTCCCAACAAGAATGTAAACCCCAGCTCCAATTGTTGAGCCAACACCTAACCAAAGCATACAATAATTCAAGAATGAGCTTTGCATATTGATATGTAAAATAAAGCCAACAAATCACAGTATTAAGAGTTAAAAACAATAAAAAGTGCCCTTCCTAGTTATAAGACGATCGTCTTTTACTAACTTACAAAATTAAGCATAGAGGTATTCAACTTTCAAGCAGAAAAACACAATTCACACCAAAAAGGAGATCAGAGAAACAGAAACAGGAAAGAATGAAATTACAAAAAGTGAAATCAAACTCAAAATAACTCAAAAAACAAAGTAAAAGAGAAAAGAGGGAGAACTTGGATTGTATCAGAACAAGAAAAACATAAATTCCCTGATAACCCAATCCCATGAACCAAAAATCACCAAAATCAACACAAAACAGCTAGAAATGCAAAACCCATATCAAATTTTGACAAAAGAGTGAGCAGAGAAAATACCAATTGCAACAAGGTAAGGAACGGTCAGCTCCTTAGCCAATTGATGGTGACCGGAATGATTGGAATTAGCAGAATCCACCTGCTTCCTCCTCACCAAGCCCCTCAAACAACCCCATAAACAACCAGAACCACCGTTTTGTGAATCAACAAGGAAACCCATCAAGAAACCCACGATATATACTTTTTCCCCTTCAATAAATAAGATGATTCAACAACTGAATTATGGATCTATGATAAGATACATATATACGATCATTTACAATGGCAAATTTGCGTGAAACACTACAACTATGTGCAGAAAATCAAAAAAGAAGAAAAATAAACATCGCCCGCATTCCCCTATGGCAAAAATTCAAACTTTTGACGATCGGATCTTTGCCCTTGACGGGGAATCAGGAAGGAATCGGACAGAGAGAAATTTCCTTTCCTCTCTGGGAATGGTAGTTTGCTTGGAATGACGGAATGCAATTCTGCTTTTAGAAGGGCTAACAACTGTACTACCCGCTGCCCGTTACAGTGAACGCGGGTCCTGTTTCGCTGCCCGAGATTAATTTTGGCCTCGTGGTAATTTACAGCACCTTTTCCATTTTTGCCTGAATAATTATGAAAAATGATTGAAGCCCTTTTTGATAAAAAAAAAAATAATGATAAATTTTATATTATTTAATAATTAATTTTTTTAAAATTTATAATATTATAATATTATAATTTTAATTTTAATCATTATTAAAGTATTAAATGTATTTATTAAGTAGTTTCTTTTTTTTTCTTTTTTGATCAGCTCCATTCAATATTATTAGAATACCCTATCTCACGATTGTAATTTTTCTTCGTGGGATTAGATACATATTATACTTGTATGATCCGTTTTATCCTACTAAAATATTTTCATGTGAGAAGTGTTCAAGGTTTTTGTTTTTGTTTTTGTTTTTTTTTTTTTTGGCAACTTAAAGTTGCCACCTTTTGCAGGATGACCAAAAAGTGTTGGAAAATTATGTTGAAGGACCATCTCAATATTATTGAAAGTTTAGGGACCAAATGAGTCGAAATTTTAGAGTTCAGGGAAAATTGGGTCTTTTAACCTAAAACAAACCACAACCCTAGGCTAGGGTCAAACTCTGCTGTAGATTCAATCTCCTGTACAAATCCTGAAAGCCAAATCTGAAAAGTTTGGTTCTGCCCTTAGTTTCTCTGGTTCCGTAATTTTTCATTCTAACAACTGTCTCCTTTGCCAATAAACTTTTGGGATTTGAATGCAATTGTTAGAATAAAAAATTACGAAACCATTGTCTCATTGTTTCTTTACTCAACAGATCAGATGGAATTGGTTGGAATAAGACATGAACAATCTTTTTTACAATTTTTTTTATAATAATACCCTAATGAGAGCTGGCACAGGGCGCCCCAGTTTTGTAGACGGTTTAGATTATTTTTTTATATATAATTGATAATT